ACTATACTTACATTCAGCACTTTCCATTATATACCACTGTCAAAAGATAATGACTTTTATAATTTGTCTCTCTCTCCCTCTCTCCCCCCAACTGTGCTATATTTTATTACTGGTATGCCTGCTTTCCCCTTTTAGCCCCATTTTCCTTTTTGAGTCCCTAGTTTAATGAGTTTTTTTTTTCTCTTTTTGTCAGCTACCACAAATCTGAAAAATATATGTAGATCTTCTCCAGAACAATAAGACTATTTCCCTACTTACTCTGAACTTATTTTCTTATGATTAGGTTATCTTTTTGGACATCATATTCTTTGAGGTGGAATTTGTTTACCTTGGTGATGTCTTAATTTCTAGACTGGTTTACAGATTAGGGAGGATGCCTATACAATGAGAGAAGAATATTCTAATTCCAACCTCTTTCATGCATCATGGAAGACAGCAAATTGAGAGGAAGTTTTCCTGGATTCCACTTATGTTCTATAGTCTGAATGCTACAATATCATTATAGCCAAGTTCTGTTAGTGTCTACTTGACTCCAAATTAGGAATTCAGAAAGCAGTGAAGTAGTAAACAGTGTTTTCATTTTTTTTTAATATTTATTTTTTAGGTGTAGACGGACATATAACACAATGCCTTTATTTTTATGTGGTGCTGAGGTTTGAACCCAGTCCCGCCCATACTAGGCGAGCACTCTACCACTGAGCCACAATCCCAGCCCCAAAAGCTTTTATTTTTTTTTTTTTTTTTGTGGTGCTGGGGATTGAACCCAGGGTCTTATGCATGCAAGGCAAGCACTCTACCAACTGAGCTATATCCCCAGCCCTGTAAACAGTGTTTTTAGACAGAATAGTGTAGTGATAGCATGAAGCAAGGATGTGAACTAGATAGCAGTACTTAAGAAAATGAAATCGATGTTAGAAATGTTACAGAATTATAATTGTCATTACTTGGTGACTAGTTGAATATAGGGCACGTGAGAGAAGGAGCTGTTAGTTTCACATCTTTATAGGAGGAGTGAATCTATGCAGGAAGAGTGATGCATTCCATAATGGAAATAGTGAAGTGAACTGAAGCAATCAGGAAGATAAGGAATCTGCTATTTAGACATTTTAAGGTGATAACTGGACAATTAGATGGTCAATGGTGTGGTAAGATAAGTCATTATATGTAAGTGCTGTTTAAAGCAGTTAGCCAGATGCAGTGTCACACCTGTAATCCCAATGGCTTGGCAGGAGGATTGCAAGTTCAAAGCCAGCCTCAGCAAAAGTGAGGCGCTAAGCAACTCAGTGAGACCCTGTCTCTGAATAAAATACAAAGTAGAGCTGGGGATGTGGCTCAGATGAAAACTTCCCGAGTTCAATCCCTAGTACCTAAAACATAAAAATAAAAATAAATAAATCATAATAGTTAAAATTTAACACTTTGAGGATCTGCCATGTGCTGCTATATGTACTGCATATGTATTATTTCCCATAGCCATTCTTAGAGCTAACTAGGTAATTCCAGATAAGAAAGCTAAGGCAGGGGCTGGGGTTGTGGCTCAGTGGTAGATGTGAGGCCCTGGGTTTGATCCTCAGCACCAAATAAAGATAAATAAATAAATGTATTTTGTCCATTTACAACTAAAAAATATTTAAAAAAAAAAAAGAAAGCTAAGGCAGAGTGAACTCTCCAAGGGCACATAATTAGTAAAGAAACATACCAGTATTCAAATTAAACAGTCTTAACTCCAGAGTCAGTACTTTTAATACTTATACTACCTCTTGAGATCTCAGAGAAGTAAAAAGGGAAAAACAGAGAGCCTGTAAAAACAGTATTAAATTTTAGAAACACCAGCCAAAGACACAATAACAAGAAAAAACCCAAATCACTAAAAATGACAGAAGTGTAAGTTAAATGAAAAAAGGAGAAAAATGTTTCTTAAAGTCAACTGCTACCAATGCCTTAGAGAAGTCATTTTCCTAGCATTTGAAAACTGCACATCTTCAAAAGATAACCCTGTAACCCAGAAAGTTATGTGATTTTTCCAAAGTTAAGAATTATGTTTTGGGGGCTGGGGTTGTGGCTCAGTGGTAGAATACTCGCCTCTCACGTGCGAGACCCTGAGTTCGATCCTCAGCACCACATAAAAATAAATAAGTGATATAAAAGTATTGTGTTCAACTACAACTAACAAATATTTAAAAAAAGAATTTTGTTTTGGGCTAACTCTATTATTGTGACCTAGTAATTTTATTTTTAATTCACTGTTGTTATTCAAGTAATTATATGTGTGTATATATAAATATGTAGACATGTTAGAAAGTAAGTGTGGCTATGTATTTTTTAACTGAGTTGGCATGGAAAGATACTATGATATGTCATTTATTGCAAAAATAAGTTTATCAAATTTTCCATTTAGTAATGGAAATTGCTATCAGTTTCCCTTCACCCTTCTCACCAAGCTTTGTTGTAGGACTGCTACAAAACTCAACGTTGTTTAAGGTGTGTAATGTCAGTGAGCTCTTATTTTTCTCTATCATTTGAGAACTAGACACTTACATGCTAAAATCCCTAAAGTAGCATTAATATTATGACAAGAAAACTTGAAAGCTGAAGTTTATTTATTTATTTATTTTTAATATTTTTTAGTTGCTGATAGATCTTTATTTTTTTGGTACTAAGAATCTAACCCAGTGCCTCACACATACCAGACACGTATGCTACCACTGAGCCTCAGCCCCAGCCCAGAAGTTATATACACACATTATGTTTTATGGTAGTCTATATAACTAAAAGGATTTTTAATCCTTTTAGTTATGTAGACCTTGTTATGTATTCCTTTTAGTTATGTAGACCTTGTACTGGGTCTTCAGGGAGAAGTAACTAAGACTAAGGGAAAGGACAGTCCAGATGTGGGAAATAGAGATACAGAAGTATTGAGGGAAAAGTAATAATTAAAATGCAAAAAATAAGAAATTCTAATATTCTACTTCCTCACTTTAGATGTAAACCTAGTTTTACATTGTTTCAGAAATGTTTATATATAAACATTTATATATATATATATATTTATATATATATAAATGTTTATATATAAACATATATATATCTTCATTTGCTTCTACTTTTTAAAATAATATAACTTTTTACATGTTGAAAACTTTTTTTGAAGGATTTAAGAAGTGAATTATAAAGTGAATTCAATTCTAAAATATATTTTAAAAATAACAGGAAACTAGGGGCTGGGGCTGTAGCTCAGTGGTGAAGTGCTTGCCTAGCACATTTGAGGCACTGGGTTCGGATCCTCAGCACCACATCAAAATAAAGAAATAAAACAAAGGTATGCTGTCCATCTATAACTGTAAAAATAAATTTAAAAAAATAATAGAAGGCTGGAATGGTAGCTCAGTGATAGAGTAGTTGCCTTGCGTGTACATTCTTGAGGCCCTGAGTTGGTTCCCCAGCACTGAAAAAGCATACTATTAGCACAGTATTCTTTATGTCATTATCTTGGGGAGTTATAGTAACGCAATTTTTTGAAGAAACTATTCTAAATTTGTTTTTTCTTAAAGGTTTTTACTTTTAACAGCAAAACCCTTACTTTCCAAACAAAAATTATACACACAATCCCCCAAATTGAGTTGATTTGCCTGTTGTCTTCCCTTGTCCCTCCTGGTATCCCTAAAATACCCCTGAAACCTTAGGGCTCTCCAAACAGTTTGATAATCACTGGTCAAAACATTGGTTATTGATATGTTGTAGATTTCATGAGGTTCCCTAGTTGACTTTTTAAATGGCTATCATCTGCCAGTAAATGGCTATCATTTGCCAGATGCCTACTATGTGGTAAGGACTTTACACACCTATCTCATCCAATCTCAGAACAACCCATGGGATAGATACCATCCTCATTTTAGAGAAGAAATTGGGGCTCATAAAGGTTAAATAACTTGCTCAGTATCACACAGTTAGAAGTGGCAGAGCCAGGATAAGAAACTTAAAGTCTACCCTGACTGTAAAGTCCATGTTTTGTTTAATAAGCCTTATAGAACAAAGCTTGATAGTGAAGGACTCTTAAATACTTTATAGGTAATCTCATCTATTGCTCATAATAGCCCTCTTATTCTCATATTACAGATAAGAAACTGAGGAACAAAGAGATTAAGTAATTTACTTTTGTTGTTATTCACCATATCCTTTCCTAATGACAAATTTTAGACTAGTCTAACATACACACATTTGAGAACCTTAATTAATTTTTTTTTAACCCAGCACATTCCAAAGTTAAGAATCATGTTTTGTTTTGGGCTAACTATATTATCTTTCCTAAACTTAAAATATTCAAATTTCTGAAAACAAACACCCTAACAACCTGGAAGTTTGTTTCAATTCTGTTTCCTGTTTTGACATTATTTAAATACTATGTCAATATCTGAAGATGTTTTGTTGCCGTTTTAAAATTGGTAACTTAGATTTTTTTTTTTTTTTGGTACCAGGGAGTGAACTCAAGGGTACCTGAACACTGAGCTATATCCCCAGCCCTATTTTTTGTTTTATTTAGAGACAGGGTCTCACTAAGTTGCTTAGTGCCTCACTTTTTGCTGAGGCTAGCTTTAAACTCTTGATTCTTCAGTCTCAGCTTCCCGAACTGCTGGGATTACAGGTGTGTACCCAGCACCTGGCTGGTAACTTAGATTTTTATCTCAGAAATGGCTGAGGTTCTTTTTTTTTTTGGTTTTGTTTTAGGTACTGGGGATTGTACTCAGAGGTGCTTTTAACACTGCGATACATTTCAAGCCTTAATTTTTATTTTTTCAATTTTGAGACAGGGTCTTACAAAGTTACTGAGGCTGGCCATGAATTTGTGATCCCTCCTGCCTCAGGCTCTCAAGTTGGTAGAATTATAGGCATGTGCCAACACACCTGGCAGAAGTGGCTGTTCTTCAGTTAAATTTTTGTACACTTTATTTTAATAAATTTAAAAATCTTATTAAATTCTAAAAGTAAGCTTTCCATTACAGGTTATGGCCATTGCACCAACTCATTATATCTGGCAACGAGAACGCTCTGTGCACCACAGTGGAGCTGTAAGAAACTACGACAGAGATGAAGTTCAACTGCCCCGGGGACCTAGTGCCACACCCGTAGATTGTTCACTCTGTGGTAAAAAAGGAAGATATGTTAGACTGGGATTGTCTTCATCATCATCTTCATCCAGTGACACAGGAGAGCTGATGGAAAAACACTCTCGGGAATCACACAACTCATTATCAAAGGACATAATAGGTGCTCCTTCTCATGCTTATAGCTATTCTCAAGGTATGATTTAGTGATAAGACAGAATTAGATTTATGCATGTTATTTATTGAGTTCTAGTCAGTCCTTACAGGTAGGGATATATGATTATTTATATATTACAAATAATTAAATTAGTTTGAAAGTTTTCCCCTTTTCAGTTACTACTTTTGTCTTGTGTATGTTTTATGGTAGTCTACATAACTAAAAGGATTTTTAATGACATATGTTAAATTGAGAACTAATGCACTATAAGCATTAAGTATTACAGCCTGAACCATTTCTTTGAAATGTTTATTCAAAAAGGATTTCAAGATAAAAATAAATTTACTTTTAATATTACCATCTAACTATTGGCTTCCTTCTATAGACTTTTTCATTTCTAACAAAATTAGAAGTATACCATATCTAAGCCAACTTTTTTTTTTCATTTATCATAAAGCATCTTCCTATGTCATCATGTAGTCTTTGAAAGCCTTATTTTTAATCCTGACATGGAACAAGTGCCATAATTTATGTGCATATTTCATTTTTGTTGAGATTTAAGTGTTTTGAACAATGGTATCTTATATTAATTAGAAAGTAATTATATTAACTGGGAATATAACCACACTATTTTTCAAGTTATTTTTATACATATAGTATTTCTCTGGCATTTCTAAATGGAAATAGTACTAGAAAAAATATTCTGAAATATGAATCTTCGTTACTTATAAAGGCTTTCCTCCAGATTTTTTTCTTCTTTTTTTTTTTGTGTGTGTGTGTGTGTGTGCGCACGCAGGGTACTGGTGATTGAACCAAAGGCCCTCTACCACTGAGCACACCCCCAGCCCTTTTTATTTTATTGAGACACTACTGACAAGTTGCTGAAGTGGGCTTTCAACTTGTGATCCTCCTGACTGAGTCCCCTGAGTTGCTGGGATTACAAGTGTGCATCTGGCTGTTTCTTCCAGATTTTCACCCATCTGAAGATAGGATTGACAGGTGTCTTATAATTCTGTTTAACTCTATCATAAGAAATTAACTGACCTGGATTACTTCAGAATTTTACCTATTTTTATCCCAGCTTTACTAAAGGAGAAACTAGACTCTAGACACTAGAAAGTAGAGGTTGTGTCCCAGAGTTCCCTGGCCATAGTAATCATTCAACAAACTTGACTGACAGTATAACACCTCAAGCATAATTTTTGTTGTTTTACTCATATTTGAAAGTAAATAGGGTCTACATGGTCTTTCTTTGGTATTCATAATAGGTAAGATGAACTGAATTTTTAAAATGTCCCAGGTGCCGAGAGTAGTAATTATTTTAGATTCATAATATCATTTAATATTCACAGACAACCATATGGTAAATACTGTTCTCTCCACTTGGCAGATAAGGAAACTGAGGCTTAGAGAAGATAAATAATTTGCCCAAGTTAGTGATACAGAGGGATACAAAGAGCTGATGCTCTGTTCCAGGTTTGTATGCTAAACCTTAGCATAGGTAGTTATCAATGCTTCTGAGTTTCCTTCACACAAAAGAAAGCAACGCCTCAATTTTCAGGTGAAAACATGTTTTTCTATCTTTAATTTTTTTTCCTTAAAAATGTTCCAAAAGAGCCAGGCATGGTGGCTAATGCTCGTAATCTCAGTGACTCAGGAGGCTGAGGCAGGAGGATCACAAGTTTGAGGCCAGCCTCAAATCATCTGAAACCATCTCAGAAACTAAATAGGACTGGGGATATAGCCCAGAGGTAAAGCACTCCTAGGTTCAATCCCCAGAATCCCACTCCCCCAGAAAAATTCAAAAAAACAAATCTGAATTGCCTGTGATACTTAGAAATGTTTTTCACTTGAAAGGTAAAATGAAACTGTCAAAACATTTCACTTTTGGGAAGGAAGATAGATGAGATCTTCTTTATGATTTACATATAACACAATCACCAATCTCATTTGAAACCAATCCCCCAAGAAATCCTGAAATGGTATTACGTTATTCTTTTTACTGATGAAAAAACAAGCACCAAAAAAGTCACACTATTACCAGGTAAAACAATACCAACAGAAACCAAGATCAGAACCCAGTTGTATCTGAATACACAGCATTTTTTTTTTTTTTTTTGCTGTGGGAGATTGAACCCAGAGCCTTACACAGGCTAAACCCATGCTCTACCATGGAGCTACATCCTCAGTCCCCACAGCACTTTTTTATACTAACCAAACTATTATTGTTTCTCTTTATGCTATGGTAAGCTACATGACACCTAAGCTGGTCCAAGTGAAACATGAGATGCATTATTATGTATTATCTGAGGACCCCTCAGATTTTAGAATGAAGCCCAGGGATAAAATTGTACCAAGCCTTAGTACTGGTGCAGGGCAGGCACAGAACAGTCCAACTGATAATTATACTCAAATAATTTTTCTCAAAAATACATACTACTTTATGCTTTCCTATTTATTTTTGTCATTACCCTTGTTATAGTCATACAGGTTGAAAATCCTTACACTTAATGAAGACATAATCAGCGTATATAAATTAATGATGTAGCTGGACATGGTGGTACACACCTCTAAATCCCAGCGATTTAGGAGGCAGAGGCAGAAGATTACAAGTTGTGAGGCCAGCCTGGGCAACTTAGTGAGACCGTATCTCAAACTAAAAAAATAAAGGGGCTGGGGACATAGCTCACAGGCAGAATGTTTCTGGGTTTAATTCCTAGTATCACTAAAAATAAAACAAAACTTTATGTATTACTATGAAATCATTGACTTAACAGGCTTTTTTCTCCCTTTAAATACTCAGACACCAAAGACAGTTTAACATTTGTGTGTGTGTGTCTTGCCCTGGGTACCAAACCTAAGGCCTTGAGCATGGTAGTCAAGCACTCTACCAATGGAGCTACATCCCTATCTCTTTATAAAAAATCTTCTTTTGAGCCAGGCACAGCAGTGCACCTGTAATCCCAGCTATTCTCAAGGTTGAGGCAGAAAGATCACAAATTCAAAGCCAGCACCAGCAACTTGGAGAAACCCAAAAAAATAAAAATAAAAAAAAGGCAGGGCTGGGGTTGTAGCTCAGTGGTAGAGCATTTGCCTAGCACACATGAGACACTGGGTTTGATCCTCAGCACCACATAAAAATAAATAAATAAAGGTATTGGGTCCATCTACAGCTTAAAAAAAGGACTAAGGAAGAAACTTAGTGGTAAAGTGCCCCCTGGTTTAAATCCCTAGTACAAAATATATATATACTTTTGAAAGTGTCTTACTAAATTGTGTGCAGGCTAGTCCTAAACTTTCTACACCCGCCTCCCGTACCCAGTAGCTGAGATTACTGGTGCAGGACACTGATCTGACTTAACTTTCTTCCAGTATCTCCTTTTATATAACCATGGAACATTCAGAAATTCATGCTATCTCTGAAATATAAGGTTCAAAATCAAAGCCTTCTACAATTCAAGAATTATATACCTAAATCTTCCCCTTAGAACAACCAAGACAACAGACGAAACTACATGATCCAGTGCAGGAGTAAAGCCATCAAACTTATTTACCAACTTCTGTCTGGGAAAGGTGGAGCAAGACCTGAAAAGCAATGGGAGGAAGGTTTTTTTTTTTTTTTTTTTTAATTTTTTTATTGTTGGTTGTTCAAAACAATACAAATTTCTTGATATATCATATGGGAGGAAGGTTTTGAGTCATCCCAGATCTCTAAGAGTTTACAGTATGATATCTGAGAGTCAGGCTTGGACATAGAAAATTAACATTACAAAATATCTATGTTATATATAAACCAGTTTGTCAACATTCTCAGTGGACTGAAGAAAAGGCTTAAACTGGGACTTGATTAATTTTGTAAATAAATTCTTACTTGCTTGGTCTTTGACTCATATTTAGAATGGAAACCACATAAGAGAGGTCTTGTTCAATTCCATATCTACTGAACACATTGTACTGAAGAGAAGTTCAGTGTCCTACATAAAACAGAATTAAAGGACAGCCCATTCCTTTGCTCTTAATCCTGCCCCTCTACAAGTAGACAATTAGAACCTGACACATAATGGGCATTTGAAACTATAGTTATGCAGAAATATAACATCAAAAGAATACTCTCCTCTAGGTGCAATCAGTTCTCTGATGTAACCAGAGTGATTTTTTTTTTTTCAAAAACACAACTCTAAGGCTATTATCCTTTACTTAATTCAATCTTTCAATGGTACTCCATTTTTTTCTTAGGATAGACAAATTCCTCAAAATGCCAGAAGATCCTACATGATCTATGTACCTTTTAGTCTTTTTCACTCACCTCTAGCATCACTGGCCCTTTTCTCATTTTCCCTGCCTAGTCAATAATTATTTACCATTCAGGTCTCAGTTCAAGTGCTGCCCCTATTATGTCTATTCATAGTACCCTCTATTTCTATGGAACATTTATTATAGTTTTATTTTTATATTTGTGTAGTTGTTTATTATCTGGCTCTATTATGAACCATAAACTCTGTAAAGCAGGTTTTTAGGTTAAAATTCTCCACATTCTATAAACTGTTATAAAAAAATTTTTACATACACACACATATACACACAAATATATATATTTTATATATATATAATTTAAAAAAAAAATAGTTATAGTCTAAGGGACAAATCCAGGAATAGTAGCATTTATCTGCCCAGGCAATCCTATTTCAAGACCTGTAAAAGATCTACAATTAAACAACTCAATCTCTTAATCTTATCCATAAAATATGGATAACAAATATGGATAACTTTAAAGATGAGTTGCAAGTTTGAAATTAATATATGTAGTTCTTTAAACAATGTATGGTAGATAGTAAACACAAAATAACTGATACTTATGAATAATAAGCCCCATTCATTCCTAATCAATTCATATTTCTAAAGTATATTTCTCCAAACGTTACATACAGTGATTTTCGATGTTCTTTCAAGCCAATTCAAAAGATACTGAGAGGGATAAAAAAGATTTAAGAGGGGCTGGGATTGTGGCTCAGTGGTAGAGTGCTCACCTAGCATGCATGAAGCACTAGGTTCGATCCTCAGCACCACATAGAAATAAAATAAAGATATTTTGTCCACCTAAAAATAAAAAATAAAAAAAGATTTAAGAATTGTTATATCTTAGGCATATAGTTCAGTGGTAGAGCACTTGCTTAGCATATGCAAGACTTTAGGCCGACCGGCCAACACCCATAACCCCCCCAAAAATCACGTCTTTATTAGAATTTTTAAGGTGATTATATCATTCTTATCAGTTTAGCCCCTACTATAGGGGGAGGTGTTACTGATAATTGAACCCAGGGGTGATTTACTACTGAGCCACATCCCAAGTCTTTTTATTTTTTATTTTGACAGGGACTTGCTAAGTTGCTGAGGCTGCCTTCAAATATGCAATCCTCCTGCCTTAGTCTCCTGAGTCACTGGGACTATAGGCATGTACCATGGTGCCTCACATGCCCCCTACTATCTACTATAGCCAGGATTTCTCATTGTTTCTAAGATAACAAGCAATTAAATTATATATTTAAAATATACAGATACATCAAATTTATCTTAAAATGCATTTTATTTCAGTAGCCAAAGACCATCAATCAAAGAAAGGAAAGAACACTAATTTCATGAAGACAGACAAATCCATGGAGTGGTTTACAGGAAGTGAAGAATGAGATGGCTCATCTAAAGCAACTTGGAATCATTAGCTACAAAAACTAAATACAAGACGTGTCAAAATGGGACATTTAAGCAGTTTTGCAAAATTTCACATCTTTTTTTTAGCTTTTGTTATTTTTCAAAGTTATATGTAAAAGTTATACAAATCATAGTAACAGCTAAAAATACTAATCTATGAAAGTACTGATTTATAGCTTAAAGTTCTAGTTTGATATTTTTCCATCTTCAAATAGGTTGCCATCATTTGGGATACTCAGTTAAGTTGTGGTTTGAACTTCCTCAACTTGACAAGAAAAGCTAATTTAAGAAGAAAAAAATATAAGGTCATTATATTACATTAATTAAAATAAAAAATAATTTAATATGGCCTGAGAACATTACTCACCTGTATGACCAGCTTGCCAATGTATAGGTCTGGCAATATAGGGAAAGGATCCATATGGAAAATCAGAATGTGATCCTTCTGTTGTAGAACAAAATATGTACTATAAGCTACATAAATATTTTATAACTTGTTTATAATAACTGTTAAAATATTAATTACTATCCCTTTACTGAAGTTTTTTCCTCAGACTTTTTTTTTTTAAAGCCATTTGTTTTGGAACTACTCTGCCAGACACTATACAGAAACAATTCGTCAATGATTATATAATAACTGTATCATATGGTTTTAACCAAAAGGATAAGCCCATATCATAAATCAATGGTATCTGAAAACTTTTTCATGGTCTAAATAATATGTATAATACAACAAGAAGCTAAATTTAATTCTCTGAAGAATTCCAGCAGCATCTTGGGAGATGCTTTTTGCAATAATAGCTATCTGCATATCAGGTCATATTAAATTCATCTTATCAGTAATAATAATCACTGATCTATGTTTTAAACATCCTTTAGTATATTTAAATTATTTCACAAACCAAGCTCATGGTGACAAACAATAAATATGAATCATATACAATGTTCAATTCTTCAAAGATACCAGAATTTTAAAAGTACAAAAAGTCATTATTTCTCCTATTCATTCTAGGAATATTTTTTATTATATAATGGTCAATACACTTAAGTTCTCCATTTATCACAAACAGATGCATAAAGTAAAATTTAAGCTCACCATGGTCATTCTCTTGAAAAATCTCACTTTCAATTCCAGTTTCCTTTTGGGTATGTAATTGTAAATCTTTGTTGATTTTAGGTTCTACTTTTTTAACTAAAATTCCATTTTTCTGTTTTGCAAGGCAAACCAACCAATCTCTGACAATGACTTCACTTATCTTTTCACATGAGAGAGCAAGTTCACAGATGCGAATTCCATCTAAAAGTTCAATAACCTGTGTGATGCTTTCAGAAAAGTGAAAAATATACCTTTACATTTCTACCAAAATAATAACTCAACATTTATTTTAAGTTCACTGTACATCTTACCCAAATTTAAGTGATATTACCCAAATTTAAGTGATATTACCCAAATTTAAATGCTATATATAATTAAATTAAGGGGAAGGGGATTAAAAATGCAAGTTGACACATAAGTAATGTCACAGACTACTAAATAAAAAATAGAGACATTAATTTAACATTAGTGTTCACATTATGATTTGAAAAATTCTTCCCAATTGTTGGAAGAAACATGTATCTTATTATTTATGTAAAGGATGATTTAAATAGCAATATAACTGAATTTGGACCATACGTCATGTTTTGCCTTAGTTATAATATGAATGTATATACCCAGTTACAATATGAACATTTTAATCCAGTATTTAGGAAAAATAAAAAGTGTATTTAAAAATCAGATTAGAAAGAAAAATGTCCCTATTACTCACTTTGCTAGATATACAGCACATATACCACCCTGTTTAAGATTTGGATATAAAACAGGCAAAGCAACTTGAGGGTTTAACATATCCAAAGCTACCTGTGGGGAAGGGGGAAAAATGAAATGGATCAGTCTGATTGTTTAAATAAAGCATGGGTTTTCTATTCTTAATTGTGGTGAAATGACACTTTTAGAAAGCTATTACCCAGTTATTTCTTCGAATATGGTACTTTTAGAATATTAACTGTCATTTTACTGCTCCCCAAATGGTTGTTTATCACTATACAATTTGTCATAGCATTTGACTATACATAAAAATCATAATGGTATACCTTGTACTTGGCAATATTAATAGAGAAATCTTTCTTTGGCTATTTATGTATACGTGAATATGGACAAGAATTCCTGTATTAATATTGCCATATGGGGCTGGGGATGTGGCTGAAGCGGTAGCGCGCTCGCCTGGCATGTGTGCGGCCCCGGTTCGATCCTCAGCACCACATACAAAGATGTTATGTCCGCCGAAAAATTAATAAATAAGTTAAAAAAATTCTCTTAAAAAAAATAAAAAATATATTGCCATATGTAAGACATAATGTTATAACATAAAAAGTTAAAATGTATTTGAGGTCTTGTAATTTTAAAAATATATCTTTATTTTGTTGTTTATTTTTATGTGGTGCTGAGGATCAAACCCAGAGCCTCACATGTATGAGAAAAGCGCTCTGCCATTGAGCCACAACTCCAGCCCTCTTGCTAAAATATAAATTTAAAATGCTTTAGTTCAGTTTTGGTAGTAAAAATTCACATTATTTTAAAATGTTTTAATTTTTGATGTTTAAAGGAGAAGCTCTGAATATTAATTTTGGAGGGTAAGAAACGTGCCCCTTATTGCTTTTTTCTTTATTCAATTGTAGATTACAGGGCTGTAACAGATGACAAGTACAATGAGTAAATGAATGATTGAAATTTTCAAGTAAAAAATTAATTAAAAACAGGGGCTGAGGCTGGGCCTCAGAAGCAGAGTGCTTGTTTAACACAGGTGAGGCACTAGGTTAGATCCTCAACACCACATAAAAAATGAATAAAGTGGGCTGGGATTGTGGTTCAGCAGTGGAGCGCTCGCCTAGCACGGGCGGGCCCGGGTTTGATCCTCAGCACCACATAAAAATAAAGGCATTGGGTTGTCCATCTACATCTAAAAAATAAATATTAAAAATAAATAAGTAAATAGATAAATAAAGTTATAAAATATATATACTTTAAAAAATTAATTAAAAACAAAAAATCCAGTCAAAGTTCATTTATTGTTGGAAAACTCCAGAAAGCTTAGAGTTATTGGCACATCTATTTATTAAATGATATATTATTGTTTATGTGTTTGTTTAAGTAGCTCAGCGTGCTTGATTAGTATGTATGAGGCCCTGGGTTCAATCCCCAGTACTCCAAAAATTCAAACAAACAGTGGGGTGCGGTGGCAAACGCCTGTAATCTCAGTGGCTCAGGAAGCAGAGACAGGAGAATGGGGAGGTTCAAAGCCAGCCTTGAAATGGCGAAGTGCTAAGCAACTCAGTGAGACCCTTGTCTCTAAATAAAATATATAAAATAGGGCTGGGGATGTGGCTCAATGGTTGAGTACCAACTGAGTTCAATCCCTGGTACCCCCCCCAAAAATCAAAACACCACCAGTACATTAGACCAATGGACATCATTCACTATTTACCAAATTTTTTTTTAAATATTTTTTAATTGTAGTTGGACACAATGCCTTTATTTTATTTATTTCTTTTTATGTGGGGCTGAGGATCGAACCCAGGGCCTCACACGTGCTAGGCAAGCACTCTACCGCTGAGCCACAACCTCAGCCCTATTTACCAAATATTTTCTAAGCACGTTCTTATACATGTCAAGCATTTTCCTAAGTATCTAATGGGAAATTACAATCTCTCTTATGGAAATCTAACATTTTTGCGAGGATGTTGATTGACATGAACTATAACCATACAGCAGAATAAGAGGACAAAGACTGACAGGCATGGAAAGGTGCCATTTTATATATGAGCTGGTCAAAGAAGAAATCTGAAGAAAATGATTTACAATGGAAAGTTAGGGGGGAAGTGTGCTCCACGCAGGAAAATAGCAAATACAAATGTTCTGAGGCAGTGGGCTACTTGGGGAGTCTGAAGGTGCCACTGTTGCTGACAGTGGAGATGAAAAGGGGAAAATGGTAGGGATATGTGGAAGTAGAGGGGAGACGGCTTACATAGAATTTTGCTGGCTTTAGCTTTACTTAGGGAACAGTCTCTGGAAAGTTTTAAAGAATGACATGATTTTAAAAAAACTTTTGTGAACAATAAAGCATAGTTTAAGCATATAACTTGGTGTATTGACCTCCAGGGGGACTGAATTCAGGGGCGCTTAACCATTGAGCCACATCCCCACCCCTTTTTAATATTTTATTTAGAGACAGGGTCTCACTGAGTTACTCAAGGGCCTCGCTAAATTGCTGAGGCTGGCTTTGAACTTGCAATCCTCCTGCCTCAGCCTCCTGAGCCACTGGGATTACAGTTGTGTGCCACCATGCCTGGCTGAACTTTGCTTCATTTTTCACTGAAATAAGCTAGCCTTACAGCAACAAGTTAAGGAAAGCAAGGAAGATCCCTTATTCCAGGCCTAAGACCATAGTGCCAGGCTATGAATGTTGAGTAGCACCACCAAGGACAAGGCAACTCCAACACTGTAATTCTGAAACTTTTAAGTCACTTAATACCTACACATTCCACATCTCTACCATCTTTGGTTATTGCTTAAAATACCATCCTTTCTTTTCATCTGTCCTTTTATCTATTATACTTCTCCCTAAGTTAACCTCTCACTGCTATAAATCCCTCTAATTTCCACATCTTTAATGAACACTCCTGAACATCCTGACTTCTAAAGATGCTGCTTACCTATTCCCTCTCAAATGGAGGCTATTTATCTCCCTACTTCTCACAACTGAGGTTAGGCTCTGGTCTCAAAATGCTCCCAATGCTGCTTCCTAATTATTATTCCTTTATCCTGGAAATGCTGAGATTTATGATGATCAACTTTTGCTTCTAACTTCTGGTCATTATCCAACATTCATGGACAACTGTGGCACTTGAGTCAGTTTCTCTGCTCCAAATCCCACCATGATATTAAAAGGTATTAAAGAAAAATACTCATCTCTAGTTATAGAA